CCCCCACCCCACCCCCATCCCTCCCCTGCGGACGGATAATCACATGTAGCGGAAAACAATTAAAAATGAAGGAAACATATGTCGGTACTTTTTCTGTGTAGTGCAAAAAGCAGAACGTAGGACACCCTGTGTCTCTTCAGTCTTGACTCAAAAGCGACAGTTTGATTTGCAATCTGAATGACAGACTTTTAAAGGTGTGCAGATACAGTATTTAATATTTAAACTGACCATCAGCAGGCCCGTTTGATATGCAAAAATATGCTTATGGTAGCATCCATTTCCACACGACGTAGATAGTTGTAGCGAGCCGACGACGGGAGAGTAACGGTGACTATGTTGAGATGTGGAATGAAAAATGACAACAAGCACATGGAGCGTCTCGCCTTGCATCACAGCACACAGCCAGGCAACGCTCGTGGTGGCACTCGTTTGGATCACACGCATACCGGAGGATACGGGAGGGGGGATGGGGAGGCCTCGGTCGGTACCTCAGACATACTTGCATGACACTTGATCGTAAAAATCATATCAAAATAAATTACATAACATATAAATTACTTTAAAATACAAAAAGAAAAAAAAACGATTTGGCAATGTTGAGTTTCTTCCTTTTTTTTGTCTTCAATATTTTCACACTCTGAACGTTCTGCATGTGTTGAACACGGTGAAATGGAGGCGATGGGTGCATGGATGCCATTTGGTGATGTGAGGATGTTACTTTGCAGCTGCCTGGGCCTGTTTTGATGAGCGCGAGAGAGCCCCACGCACGGCAGATAGACCTTTTGTTGTGAAGGCAAGCCAGGACTGATGTGCCAACGGTGCTCTCCGACATTCGAACTCAATCAAAAAGGAGAGTTTGATATGGGCTGCCACCTCATCTCACATCATCAAGACATTTAAGAGGAGCGGCCTTTGCAGGCCCATGTCAGTCTATTTTGTGTGTTGGGTTTGGATATGTGCTGGAGTCGAGGACAGCTTTCAAAGTCCAGGTCTTCAAACGGGTAAAGTATCTCACAAAAGGAGTGCATCACATACCGTACACTTTTGAAAATATTTTCAATTTTTTTAATTTTTTTGGGGGGGACTACACTGAAAATAATTGCACTTTCCTACAATGTAGTGAGTGAACAGCTTGTATAACAGTGTCTATTTACGACTCATTCAAAATGACAAAGCCCTTAGCCCGAAACTGCTGGCGGCAGAACAAACCACTCAGCTGGAAGCCATGACCGGCGATTCTGAGGCAAAATGCAAAATACTCACAGAATGTATTTTTTAAGTTAGCTCGTTACCGGTTGTAGCATTTGCCAGCGGCACACTTTTTTGTTTCTACTTGCAACTCTAATCCAAACAAAAATACTCTATTTTTCTCTGCGGACTTGACCTGGCTACCGTTGAACTTTTCGGCCGGGACCGTACCCACCTTTTTTCTCTCTCTCTCTCTCTCTCTCTCTCTCTTTTTTTTTTTTTTGGGGTAGCTAGCTCCAACGGCTAGTTAACACCACTGAAAACAATGGCATTTTCCATGATGTTACCATTAGGGGGGCAGGTTGGTCCTTAAGGCCACATTGGTAGCAAAGCTGTTTGCTTGTTTTCAATACACAATGCATACTTCTCTCTTTTTTTTTTCCTTTTTACTCAAGACAGTAAACTTCAACTGAGTGGGACATTAAATCGCTTCAAGACTCTTTTCTGATAAATTGTTTTGTCTTTGCCGAATTGCTGATTACTGTGAAGTGCGCTAAAATGAGTTCTCTGCCACAAGCTGCACATGGACTACTTGACATTGTAGAGAAGCGTCATTTCTTCGGTGTTGTCCCGTGAAAGGATATTTATGAAATATTTACAAAAATGGGAGGAGGATGCACTCACTTTGGTGAGATTCTCTCCATCAGCGTTGCCAAAGTAACCGATCAGTGCTCATCAGTTCTCCATGGCCTCTGCGCACACCATACTGCCGTACAGCTGCGGGGGATCCGGGTGTGTCCGCTCCTCCGCCTCGCTGTCCGTGCTGCCTTCGCTGTCCAGGCGGGTGGAAGGGTGACATGGGCCCGGTATGGCCGGGTAAAGGGCGTTGGGGGGCAGCGGGCTGTGGAGGAGGTCCTCGTCAGAGCTTAGGTAGTCACCCTCAACCGAGGCGGGGCTGGCCAGGCAAAGATCCTGGTAGTTTGCGCCCATGGTGGTGAGCCTGGAACCCGGGGCCCCGGCCTTCTGACCTCGCAATAGCCTGATCTGCAAACGCAAAGAGGATGTCACACTTTCCAACCAGCATGGCTCTCATTAGCCTAACACAACGGATTCTATATATCTATTAATGTATAGCTGTCAATATTACTTCTTTCATTCTCAAGCGTAAATTTGGATACAGTGTATACGGTGTGTATACACTGAGCAATATTCAATATCCATAGCCGCAGATTTATTTATTTATTTTTGTTGTTAAAAAACAATAATAAAATAAAAAAAAACATTTAATCTACGAACAGTAGAAATAAGCAGGGTTTTTCACATATAATGGGTCTAGCTCCCATCCCTTGCAAAAAAAAAAAAAAAAAATTTAAAAACGGCAAACTATGACTATGCAGTGGTCGACTGAGTTCAAAAGAAAAAAAAAAAACCCTACACCGGTTCATCATTTTTGTGATCTGGGCCAAATCAATAATAGTGCTGCTTTAGGACCATCTGACTGTATCTTGGTGCCAAGGAGTCACTTGGAATGAGTAGAGGAGCTTCTTTTTGGGGCACCTATAGGCAATTACTATTTTCAGGGTGCATGTTTTTTTCCGCTATTTATTCAGGTCTTTTTTTCGCCCACAATTTACGTTTTTTTTTTTTTTTTTTGTCATAAAACGTTGTGTCTTTAAAAACTCTTTAGCACATAGCGCCACATCTGCGTCGATGTGCTCTTCTTACACTCATGACGGCATGAGACTTGAGATGAGATTTGGCCGCTAGCACCACAGGATTAAACAACCACAAATGGCATTTGCGGACAAACAAATTGTAGCATTTTTAAGTAATAAAACACAGGGTCTTTCATATCACTTAATGGTGCAAAAAAAATAAATAAAATAAATCATCTTTTCAACAACAATAATTTTTAAAGCCACATCGCGTGACTCGACCTGCACAGCGTGACAACTATAATTTGAGAATTTCTTTCTCACCGCATCAGCACTCAAAATATGAGTCAAGCATAAAAAACAAAAAAACGATTCAACTGAGATTTTACACAACGCATTTTCATTGAAACGCGAGTTTCAGTCTCCTTCATAAAACCACAGCTTTGGTGACAAAGGCAGTCAGCCGATGCGTGGGAAGGGGGCTAAAAAGCAACAGTCTCATTTTACGCCCCTTCGGTTGAGAATCCCAGTCATCCACTGACTTGCTCTCAAAAGTGAACATTGTTATTCAGTTACAATTTTCAATAGAAGGCTTGGAATGGATGTTTTGGTATTGTGCAGGCATCCCCCTAATAACGTGACTTGTAAGTCTTACAAGTGCCAGAACGACTGCATAAAAGTAAAGGACATGCTTCAATGATGAGGCGACCCGATTAAAAAGGAGGCAAAGGGGTTTCAACAACGACAAAAGTGGAAATGTTTGTGGGTGGAAGTGGGTTTTAGTGTGAATCCAAATTAACGGTGCAAGATATGTGAGGGAGCGCTGCACTATTTTAAAGTTTGGGGTTCAATTTTTAAGCATCTTCTTGCATCCTCTATATGATTTGGAAAACATTTCTGCTGCTCGGGGGGAAAAAAAAATCTAAATATGGTGTTACAGAAATATACAGTTGTGCCCCCCCCTAAAAAAAAGAGACAAATTGCTGCTGAGCCGTCTTCAGAACTGTAAATCAACAGAAAAAAAAAATTAAACAGATAACCAACCATTCGGGAGAAATAAACCTACATAGTGAGTGACATAAATAAAACGTGGCAAATGTATTAATTTGTCATAAATAATACTCATCTTAACGAATATTCGGAATAAAAAAAAAA